GGGGATACTAAAAAGAGTTGAAAACTGCACGTAGCGTAATTGGCCGAGTGGGGATTCGTATAAAAGGGCTTTTGAAGAGGCACCACATCTATACCATGGTGGAAAGAATACTTTCCACCATGATCTATACAAGAGGTACCACATCTTATACCTGTGTATATTTGTGAAATATTCACAAATATACACAGGTATAAGATGTGGCATGCATCTCAAGATTGAGATGCATACTCAATCTGAAATTTTTCCACGAGTATTCTATCATAAACTTTCATTTCCCGTTCATCCCGACTCCAAATTTGAGGTCCAGAAAACAGGCTAATTTCGGTCAATTTTTAGGGTTGCTCTTTCATTGGCCCATTTTCTTATGCATGAGTCAATGGACCAATCAAATTCTTTATGTATATGGTTTATGAGTTAAGGTTGATTTATACTGGCCGTAAACTGTTAACTTATGCCGTAATCTGTAAAAATTGACCAATCACAGTCGAATGAGAGGGGAATAATCGATTATAATTGGTCAATTTTTACAGATTACAGCATAAGTTAACAGATTACGGCCAGTATAATCCAACCCTTATACAAAAGTCTGTGCTCCCCGCTAAAGAATCAACAGTCGTGATGTACGAATATCTAGAAACGGAGAGCATGCTCTAAATATGCTCCGATATATTCGTGTCACTTCGAGTGTTAAGACATTCCTATCCCCGTTGTATGTATAATACAAAATATGAAGGTTGGTAATACCGCGCAAGTAATTCGACTAGGCGGATTTTTAAAAATACTTACATGTACATAATGGCAGCGCGAGATCAGTTCTTCGCAGTTCTCCGCTAGTTGCGTCGGAAAACGGTTTGTTGCAATTCGCTGCATTCTTGTTGTTTTTTTTCGCGAGGAAGACAAAAGGCACGCTAGAGTGAGTAAAATGGTCAATCGCGCAGATTTGCTTTTCCTAATCCGTTCTTTTTTTCGCGCCGAAACAAAATCGAGTTTTTCTCGATATTGATAGAATCGTCCAGTTTTACTTGGTCGAAAAGTTATTCTTTCTCTATTTTCTACATTGTTCTTACATTGATGAACGAAAAAAGGACAAACGAACTTTTTCGCCTAATAATTGCTATATACCGCATTGTATAGTATTTTTTTTGTTACATTAGCATTCTCTCTTTTATATCACTCTTCTTTATCACTCTTGATCACTTTTTTAAATATTATCGGTATAATTTTTATTTATTTTATATATTATAAAAATGTAATTTATATCGTAACCATATTTCTTTTATGTCGTGACATTTGCTAAACTTTCGTAACATAAAAAACTTTTTTTTACTTATCTTAGAATTTGACCAATAATTGACGAAATAATGACGAAATATATACTGCTTCCAGATCGATAGAAATATAATAAGAGTTGTGCATATTTCGTTCATTCATTATACGAATTTTTATTTTATTTTTGATTTTTCAATAATTTACACATATTTTTTTCACTGTGATACCTAAAATGCATGTATATATATATCTTAACCAAAGTTACACACGAATTACGCGCGAAAATAGAACTAGGTTTACAAGCAGCTTTTATGTCACTACAGTGACATAAGCATAAAATATTTCTAATAGGAATCATATTAGAATTTTCTTTTTCTATTGAAAAAAATAATTCTAATATGATTAGAATTATTTATTTCAATAAGTCCTCTTTAAAAATTACAAAAGTTTACACGTTGAAATATCGTAAATTAATTGTTCAACGGAAATCCAAATTGTTGTTTGTGTTTTATAATCGTATATATATTACATGTATACATATATTTATAAGACATATTACAGAATGTAATTAAAATAAAGAAACAGACTTTTCTCTCAGATTTGAGCTCTTCATAAAGAAATATGAAAAAAAGATCATATAAATATATATATAACCCATTTTTACTGTAAATCCATTGTCAATGTCGAGATACTACTCAAAATGTTTATTATTAAAACTCGAATACGATCCCCCTACCTTAATCTTCTAAATTTTTTTGTGTAGAAATATTTAAAGTCCTAGCTTATAAAGCTAGTTTATGAAAATTTAAAATAATAAAATAATACAAGGGCTACGAGTCGAATAAGATCTTTTAATGTTCGAGGAATAAAAGTAGTAAATATTAAAATTTTAACAAACATTTCGTAATGATATCGATTATTACCAATTATAATAATGTTAAACGCAAATTCAAATTAGTAATTATGCAAACAATTTTGTAGGTATAAATAAAAAAAGTATTACAAAAATATTCTAACTATTACTTCTAAAATAATCCACCTCCATGTATTTGAGTTTATCTAGACCTAAAACTAGGACAAATGTGGCTCATCACACTCATAGTATACATATGTGAATGCTATAGAATTAATGTAAAATTCCTTTTACAAATAATTTTGTTTTAATAATAATTATGAGAGATCCTGATGAGTGATTTTGTAAAAGTATAAATTCTGTTAATGTAATATTTCACAATAATTAGAAATCAAGTAATATAATATAATATATAACAAATTATAGTAACAATTAAAATGTAATAAAATATAAACCTTTGTCAAACCCTTCTATTATTTCATTATTTTTAATTTATTATGATTGAGCGATATTATTTTTCTAGTTTACGAAGTTTAAATTGACAACGAAAAACAATTCCTCTCCGAAGTTTGCCATTTACGTTAATTATATCCTGTAAAATCAAATAAAATTTCTAATTAGCTACAATATATGGAAAAGAGATATGTTGAGAAGAAAAAGATTCATAAATATATTATTTATAATTAGTATATAAGTATCAGGTTGCTCCTTGCCCTAATGAAGTGAACAGTAAAATATTCACGACGTTGGCACTCCAAGAATAAAAATTAAAAGTTAAATGTATACTAAAATTCTGGTTGAGATAATTGAAATTCCGGTTGATTTAATCAGAGTTTGTTTATTTTCAACCAAACATTTTTTTGTCCTAATGTACCCCTATATATGTTTATATTTATTTGTTACGTATGTATATATTCTCAATTTCTCCTGTCATATATCATTACATTTTATTTATTTGATAAAACTAAACAATACATTGTACAATAAAGATTAAAATAAACTTCGGTTGTTTTAATGAAAGAGTTAATGGATTTTCTGGGTGGAGTGCAACTAGTTTGTTTCACATCTGCTAGTATATTTGTATAAAGGGTAAAACAAATGTTTTGCGCTTGAAACATATGGCTTGGTGGCTGTAATGGACCATATGGCTCTTCGAAGGCATCTATGTCTATAAATAGCGTCATACATCTCATTCTTTCATCACTTCCATCTAAAGAAGAAAGACTCTGAGAGCTGTGTCATAACTTAAGAAATGATCCTTTATTTAAATAAAATTACTATAATAAGAAGATTAAAAACGAGACTGTTTATGTGAGTACATCATTTAAATATGAGAAGCGCCACTTTCGGGGTCAAAGTTAAATATTAAACTAATATATATATTTTTTGTATAAATTTATCTTAGAAATATTTATATTATTAACTTTAATAATATAAATTTAAAATACAAACGTTTCAACCTACATTAGGTCATCTTCAGTGTAGTTGATCATTTGAAATAAAATGTCATATTGATTTATATAAGATGCACATTGGTCTAGAAGCCTTACGCTATGGTTAGCTCGGATCTACTTACTTTTTTTCCGTAAGCAATAAAAGCCAAAAGATTTTGCTACAATGTTAAATAATTTAGTGAAATCAATAAGTACAAAAATTAAATATAAAGAGTCATTTTTTGAAAGCTGTTTTTGTATGCTATTTTTAATTCATATCATAGAACTTTGTAAAAAACATAAAAAATTTTAAGGATTAAATCTAAAAAAAAAAACGGCCAAATCGTCATCTAAATTCTAAACTACTAATCATAAAAGTAGAGACTTCAAGCTTTTTGTAAATCATCTTATTATAATAATTTTTGATGAAGTTACTACTCTCTTGAAAATTTCTTATTTTTGTTAGTAAGTTGATCTCTTGATTTTTTAGCATAATGCTATTTAATATTTCATATCAAAATATATGAAAATAATGTATAAAATATCTCGTTGAAATATTCCTTTTTAGATCATCTTTCCTTAAGACATAGAATATTCAAAAAATTCTATTATTTATGTACACAAAAAATATAAAATCCATTAAAGGAAAAAATATAAAAAATAAAATTGCACTTTTTTAATACATCGTTGCACTTATAAAAAAAAATGAGCAATAAAAAAATATACATTATTTACCATTAAATTTATTATTTTTATTTTAAATGGAACAGGTACTAGAACCAATTCTAATTACATGATGCATACTATATATATATATGTTGAAACACAGAATACAAAACTGTGATCTCTACAGTCGCTACTGACGATTAAGAGTAATTTATTGTGCGTGATGATTTCTCTCTACGTCTTCTTAGGGTCATCTTTAGTGACCTATGTTTTTTCTTATCGCGGCAGTGCATCCAATTAAACATAGGAAGGAAGAGTACTATATAGTCTACAGAAATTCTGACAACTTTACTCGTTATCTACGGAGTAAGTTCATTGATTTTCTATTATCTTTTTGATCAGATTTTATCAGTGCCCATCGCATCATCAGAAACTTCTACAATCAACTTGAAAACAACGCTGCAGAGCGAAACAACACTGCAGAGTACAGCTTTATAACAGTTTGCTGGTCAAACGCTAATAGGACAATGAAACTGCCTATTCTTTTGACGCTCTTCTATTGCTTTTATGTCGATGTTAGCCACGCCAGGGAAATAACGTATGTATCCGATTAATTTGCTCGATAATCACATATGTACTCCTTCCTAATGAAAAAATGCTCACAATAGTTTTAGGAATTTTTCATATTTTGAATGTATGAAGATTTCTAAAAAAAAAAAATACTTTAAACACACTTTTTCAGAAGTTATATATTAATAATTGTAAATTTTATATTATTAATTAATTATTAATTTTCTTCAAAAGTTATAGAATGAGAAATCTTATAACGAAACACGCAGTTAAGTGTCCTTCTTTAATAAATTCTAGATATATTAAAATATAAACAAAGATAAAGAGGTGCACATGTTTTTAAAAATCGATTTTTTTGAAGAAAGACTTTTATCCCCTTAACGATTATAAGCACTTACAACAAATGTGTCTTATTTTTGTCTGTATTTTAATACATTTAAAGCTTATTAAAATTGAAATTGAACATTTTGTTGTGTTCCTTTATAAGAATATTTTAGTTCATATCTCATCTTATATGTGCGATCCTTAAGATTTAATATTGTTTATTTACATCGCTTCAAATAGCGGACGTTATTTCTACATATGCCAATTATTGCGAAGATTACTAATTGTAAGTATAGATGATCTATATGAATATTACTAAGTCTCGGTAATTTAAAGGTTTAAAACGCTCGTACGGAATGTAAGAGAGATTCGGGTTCGATTCCGGCGGATGTAATATTTTTCGCAATAGAATTAATTAATTCTTCGTAATAGAAAGAATTAATTATTTACAGATTTTGATATGTCGTTCAACATTATTAAAATCGATCTAAAATGCGTAATGAGCATCAAGAATGGTTAAATTGCTAGTCAATTATTGATATTACTGCGGTAATTTAATAGAGATTGCGTTTCAAGACCGAAAAATTATTCGACGTGCAGTTTAAAAAGACTACATACGTAGTACATATATAAATTCAAACGGAATTATACAAACACCCGAGATCCTAAGACTTTTGTTTTTTATTAGTTCTGATAATTTATAATGATGTCATGTTTATTTTGTCCTGTAAATAATTATATCAATCTTTACAGTCATGAAGATATTAAAGATGCTATGTTGAGCTTAGTACATATGATGCGAGAGAACACAGAGAAGCTGGAAAGACATGAAGCGAGAGAACGGCAGCTGGGTGAGCAATTAAAAAAAACAATAACCATTTTGACAAAACGTGTATCCGTTGTAGACGGTCTGAAACTGCAATTGATCAAGTTAGACGATAAAGTCGCAGGAATAGAACATCTAATCGCACAGGTAATTTCCAATTTGCCTAAAAAATAAAAAAAAAAACTTTTTGAGGTGTTAATGTTTCTTTATATAGAAAGATGAACGAGAGCGTATACAAATGCAAAAAACCGTGGACAGTTTAGAAGATCTAGAAAATCGCTTGGAGGGCTGGCTCACGAATATCGAAAGTAAGGTAGCAGAGATAAACAATCGTGCGGAAGTTACATCTGCTCCGGATAGTCTTTCTAACGTTCTCGATAAGTTAAGTAGCATAGAGAGCAACTTGATGGGAGAGGTTGTAAAATTCAAAGAAGATCTGCATAATAACATAGCAAAGATGAATAGAGAATCTGTTACGCTGATGGAGAAGACGCATACGATATTCTCGGAGGTAAAATATTTATAATAAAAATAATATATATTTTTTTTGCTAAATATTTTAAGTAATATAAATAATATATTTTGCGTCGTTAGATGCAACATGTAGCCGCCAAAATCGAAGACCTCGAAAAATCTTTAGAGAAGATAAAACAGGTAACGCAAAATATTCAGGAGAGACCATCAGAACGGCAATTGGATTTATCTCCAACCTTTGACAATCATGTCAGAACATTAGAGCAAATGCAAGAACTACTGGAAAGCACGTCTGACAGATTACGAGAATTACCTAGGTTTTGCGTATTTTAATTTCCCTCCCTAATAAAAACATTTTAATAAAATTTTGATGAAATTTCAATGAATTTAATGTTTCATTAAATTTGATAACATTTTGACGATTATATTAATAACGAAATTTTTATTGTATTTTGTTGAGAAAATAATTTTCTGTATTTTTAATGAAAACAAATACACTATTTTAATAAGAATTCAATAAAAATTAAATTAAATTTTAATACAAAAATATTAACTTTGACCAATAATTTCATTAAAATTTTAATTTAATTTTTTCATGAAATTTTGATGAAGTTATTGATCAAAATATTTAAAAAACTGAACATTCAATTCATCTAAATTTCATTAAAATGTTTTCATCAAAATTGACATCAGTTTGGATGTTTTTTCTTTGCAAAAATATGTAACATCCTTGTAACACTTTGACGCTAATTACCATTTTACGATGTAGGATAAACGAAGTTCAGGCGCTCCACAACGAGACACAAGCTACATTACAGGAAACAAAGCACGCGTTAAAGGACATCATTACACGGGGTATTAATAATATCGAGGATAGCATAATAGAGAATAAAGAAGAAACGAAGGATTTAGTAACGACATTACGGTAAATCCTGATTTGATGGCATGATTAGTACTAAACATTCTTTTGTCTTCTAATACTTTGGAGTAGGGCTCGCGATAAAATAATATGATACAACTTATTTAAAATAAAAAATATAAAATACGTTTCAAAAGCGCTTATTATTTTCCATACTTGGAAACGCAACTGAATTACTATAGTAATATTATCAATTAAATTACTAAGCATTTTGATTGAATTTAATTGAATCCAATTGAATCCAGTTGAGTTTGAATTGAATCGAATTGCATAAATACTCCCTCCGTTTTTTAATGACCACCAACCTTCGGTGGCAGCAGTCGGGAGTAAAAACAAAGTTTTCGCTTTTTAAAATACATATTCGGATAGATAAAATTTCGATCTATTTGATCTATTTTCGTTTACCGCGAGATACTACGAATCCATCATTTTAATTAAAAAATTGTTAAGTAAGAGTCCTGTATATTCTTTCTATTTTAATTAATGAGCTTTTTTAACAGGATGAATCTAGCTAATAATGCAGAACGCGTTAATCAGGAACTACAAAATCTGGAAAAGGGTCAATCCGTGATGGTTTCTATGGCTGATCATGTGCTGGACACGAAGAAAAGAGTGGAGTACGGTGTACATCAGATTTTACTGGAAGTGGGTGATTTGGTGAAGACTCAAGGCGTTAATATTAATAGCACTCTTAGTCAAAGATTTGACGGAATCTCAAATGATATCATGGATAATCAAAACGGTGCTTTGGCAAACCTTACCAGTAAAATGGAACTGGAAATGAACAAAGTAAAAATCTACTATTTGTTAATATTGATCTAGTTGTTGCCAAGATTTGTTGTTACCAGCTTCATTACAGGTTTGGAGACAGATCAATGTAATGTATCAGCAGATGACAGAAAGTGCTCGAGCTTTAGATAAATTGCATCAACAGAATGAAGCCTATGTTAACGGCACAACGTCCACTATGGGTGGAATGGAGAACAAAGTAATAAGACATATGATACATTTAGATTAAAAAGTAATGAAAATTAATATATTCTCTCAAATAAATTTTATTATAGATAATGTATATATCAGTTAAATTTCCATTGATTCATTATCATCTTATCAATTATTTGAATGTGCATCAAATTAATTTAGCATTTTTTGTGATATATTTAACAAAGTTAGACAATGGCGATTTGATATTCACTTTCAATAACATCCAACGAACATTAGTTTGAACTTATTTATTTAAATACTTGCCAAATATTGCAAAATTAATTAGTTAAATATTTTGGATTCTGTAGGTGGGCGAAATAACGAAACGTATGACTGAAGTGGATGAAAACTTGAACTATCTGCTCGGCCGCTTGTCCTTAGTAACACAAGAATTCAATCAAATTAAGACAGGCTTGGGAAACGCTCTAGATAACATCAAGGCTTCTTTCAAAGTGGTTCAGGATAAGGCATTGGATCTGACTCATCCGGGTCCTCATCCACTCCCGGAAAATTATAAGAACCCAAACGAATCCGAAACCGGAAAGCCAGACGGTAAGCCTCCATTGGACTTCATGAATCACATTATCAATGTACCCTCCAATTGACCTCAAGTCAATAGATTTTTAAAGCATTCTGATTAATTGCATTTATTTACTATGACAATATAAAATTTCGTTAATACTAAAAGTTCTCTTTTGTAATTTATTTCTTTTTTATATTCCTTTACAATCACCTGGCCAAACTCAGATTTAAATATTTCGTTTTATAACTGTTTACTGTATTAATTTCTTTATTATATAAACTGTTTGTTTTAGTTGTGTCCATAAAATAAGCCATTTGATTCTCAAATCATCAGGTCGGCTTTTGAGCTAAAAGCTCTCACAATCAGTCAAACAGCCATCTTCATCTTTAGTGAATTAACATGCGGCACTGCCTTCAGTATTTCATCATCATCATTGTAATTAGATTGCAATACATTTGCGAATATATACATATATTACTGAAAAATAAGGAAATCAATTTGCATCGTAACGAAAAGTGTTGAATTTATCTTCTTAGGAATGCTGCTAGATGATGTCGTTTCTTGCATGTATTTTAGTACATGCATTATTTGTATTTTTGTATCAATGTGAAGCTAAATATAAAAATATTTTATATGAAATTGTTAATAAGGTCTTAATGAATTTTAATAAAATCTTAATAAAAAAAATTACTCTATTAATAAATAGTAACAAAATCTTAATAACAAAATCTTAATGAAATCTTAGTGAAATAATACTGAAAGTAGGCCAATTGACGAAATATCAATATGAAATTTAGTAATATTTCATCATTATTCATTACAAGACTTTTTACAAGAAAATTTTCAGAAAAAAAACGTTTATCTGCAGGGTAGTGATATTGCAAGCAATATCACGTCTATGACTGTTTTATTTAAGGCTCGCAACGCTCACGAGCATCGTTTTTCCTTATTTGACATTTAATAAATAACAAGGATAAAATAATTTTGCGAGCGTTGTGGATGTTAAATTGAACGCACCCTATAAGTATATATGTTATACAAAGTCAAAAGATGCAACGCCCACGAAAATGGCGTAGCCCGCTCGGATACCAAGCGCCTGCGTTTACGACTTCGTCACGCAAGGACGTACGTTAGGACGAACGAACGAAAATTCGTACAAATTCACGGGGAACAATCAAAGGAAGATACATATGCACAGTCAAAGTCGGCAACACTTTCAAAAATATACGATTTGATAACACCCGAACCGAACGTGTCCGCCGAGTGGTTTTCCTCCATTGGTGATTGCAGCGACAGTAATTGGATAGATTGCAGTTAATATTGATATTACGATGATCATCTCAACATTTTTGTAAAAATAAAATCATGTGGCTCATTGAACATGACTGTTAACAATATTCAAAGGCTTAGTCAAGTATATATTATATTATGTTCTCATCCCGGCTTGAATATGGTTACGTGAATTCTACAATCGCACGACGGAGGTAAGTTTTCTCATTTAAAATTTTAAACAACGTGTATAAATGCAAAGTTACTATTGTAAAAGCGACTTTGGAACACAGAATTGTTTATATAAATTAAGATATATAATTATTACATAACATATGATTTTATTATAATTACATTGTTATAATGTAAAGTACAATAAGAAGAACGATCCGACGGACAACAATGAGCAGACGGACATCAATGTGATAGACAATGGTTATCCGTAATCTTCGATAATTACCTTTATAAATGTCGCAAACGTCACTTATACGCAATTATCAGCAAGCGAGTGTGTATTTTCATATACACCTGCAATACATGTATATGTGTATGTGTACGATGTCCGTGTTGGACCGAGAAAAAGCTTGTTGCTTGGATTATGGAAACTATATTAATAAATTAATTAACGTTCGTAAACATACAGTCGTGTTGTATCATATAAACTATAAAGAAAGAAATAAAAATAAATATGTAGCTTTAATACAGTTTGGTAAATGTGTAGCATAAAGGCACTTGAACTGTCTTATTTTGCTGTCATTTTTCATACTTAATTTTCCCCCCTATCTCTCTCTCTCTCTCTCTTTCTCTTCTACTCTCTTTCTTCATCCTTCTCTTCTCTTCCTCTTCTTTCCTCGCGTTCTTCCATTTCGCAAAGAATATAGTATAACGAAGTATGATTGTGTGCGTTGAAAAGGAGACAAAGAAGAAAAAAGAACCGTGATGAAGGATGAATGTGATTGGTGAACGTGATTGATTCTGGACACGTGTCTTTAAAAGCACTTGCGATGGACGATACCCGGACCATTCTCTTCTCTTCCTCTTCTTTCCTCGTGTTCTTCCATTTCGCAAAGAATATAGTATAACGAAGTATGATTGTGTGCGTTGAAAAGGAGACAAAGAAGAAAAAAGAACCGTGATGAAGGATGAATGTGATTGGTGAACGTGATTGATTCTGGACACGTGTCTTTAAAAGCACTTGCGATGGACGATACCCGGACCGGACTCATCGTATTCCTGTTTGGAAATCCACATCTGTTGGAAGGTAGACAAGGAAGCCAGGATAGAACCGCCGATCCATACGGAGTATTTTCTTTCAGGAGGAGCAATAATCTTAATCTTTATAGTAGAAGGTGCAAGAGCAGTGATCTCCTTCTGCATACGATCGGCGATACCGGGGTACATGGTGGTACCACCAGAAAGGACAGTGTTGGCATAAAGATCCTTGCGGATATCGACGTCGCACTTCATGATAGAGTTGTAGACGGTCTCGTGAATACCGCAGGATTCCATACCCAGGAAGGAAGGTTGGAAAAGAGCTTCAGGACAACGGAACCTTTCGTTACCGATAGTGATAACCTGACCATCGGGCAATTCGTAGCTCTTCTCGAGGGAGGTACTGGCGGCAGCGGTGGCCATTTCTTGTTCGAAATCCAGAGCGACATAACAGAGTTTCTCTTTGATATCGCGAACGATTTCTCGCTCGGCCGTGGTAGTAAAGCTGTAGCCTCTTTCGGTAAGAATCTTCATGAGGTAGTCAGTAAGATCGCGACCGGCCAAGTCCAGACGGAGGATGGCATGAGGGAGGGCGTAACCTTCGTAGATGGGTACGGTATGGGAAACACCGTCGCCGGAGTCCAGGACGATACCGGTGGTACGACCGGAAGCGTATAAGGAAAGGACGGCTTGGATAGCGACGTACATTGCCGGGCTATTGAAGGTTTCGAACATGATCTGCGTCATCTTCTCACGATTAGCTTTCGGGTTGAGGGGTGCTTCAGTGAGAAGGACAGGGTGTTCCTCCGGAGCGACACGCAATTCGTTGTAGAAGGTGTGGTGCCAGATCTTCTCCATGTCATCCCAATTAGTAATAATACCATGTTCTATAGGATACTTTAATGTCAATATACCTCTCTTACTTTGCGCCTCGTCGCCAACATAGCTGTCTTTTTGACCCATACCGACCATCACACCCTATAAAATGGAGAATCATTTAGTTAAGAATGTTTCTTAGTTTGAGTTAAACGATACGTTAAAAAATATCGTATATATACTCTATTATTTTTAAAAAATTGTAACATAAAAAGTGCTAGGATTATATAAATATAATATATAATAATAAGATAATATAAGATGGTATTATTATATTGATATGTTCATATAATATTTAGATTTTTGGTAAATTTTGATTTCTTCAAATGAGAAGCCAATGTTTTGACCAACCTGATGACGAGGGCGGCCGACGATGCTAGGAAACACAGCGCGCGGTGCATCATCCCCTGCGAATCCAGCTTTGCACATACCGGATCCATTGTCCACAACTAGTGCCGCAACATCATCGTCGCACATCTTGGTTGATCGTTATTATTACTTTCTGTGAATACACACCACAAAATGCAGAAGAATGTTGCAGGATAGGGTCACTATTGTTATAAAGTAATGAAAAACAATTAAATTCATGATCAATAAATTTAAATTAATTCGGAAATTCATTCATAGAATTAATAATTATAATATGTATATGTTAAATCATACATAGACAAGTTTATAGAGACATTCGACATTACTTTGAAGATATTAAGAATGAGTTTGAAAAAGAATTTATATTTTTAATGAATGAAGAAAAGTCAAAATATCAATTTTGGTTATAAAAATTCAGGATAAAGTAATAGACTACTAATAAATTCTTTCAGCTTTGTTACTATTATCGCGTTCACATCCACTTATGCACAATCACTAGTATTATGACTTTACGTCATACACGATTACGCAAACCTCACTCAATTCTCAGTTTTTCTTGAAAGTTTTCCGAAATTATCGTTCTTTGAAAGCTTCTCATCAACCATCCTGATACTTGGAAACTCACTGAGTTAAAGCTTTAACTCAGCTTTGACTCAGTACCATTTATTCGAATCACTACAGATCTTATGAACTGATATCAAAGATTTTTGCCATTTTAGCGAAACTTAGAAAAGATTTTCAGAACTCAGGATTTTCGATGCACGTGAACCAAGTAAATCGATGTGATTCGCAACCGTTTATTGTAGTAATGAGATATGGCGATTTACCGTTTACTAAGAGTCGAGGGAGAGAGTTCGGTGACAATCGTTTAGGGTCGCGTACAACGTCGTGCAAGAGGCTGACGAGAGCCGCAAGTGGCGTGGTACCGGCTCTGTGGGGTCCCTTTATCCATATCGGTCAGCGGCCGAAAATAGCAATCCGCCCCTTACATGGAAATCGGCTGTTGGCGTTAATGTTGGGCTGAGATTCCGCGCCGCCCATTCTAGTCAGGCTAGTCCTTAGTTCACCCTAACGAGAGGAGCAACAACGGTGGAAAGAGAGAGAGAGAGAGAGAAAAGAGAGGGAAAACGCCGAAGCATCTTGCTCGGAGGTGGTGACGACGTCGTCGACGCTGTGGTGGCCGACGGCCCCCGAATCCAAATAAGGACTCGTTACGTGACAGGGCCGTCCATTGTTATCATGGGCCTCGGTAAAGAGATAAAGACTCTAAGGAGAAAACGAGGAATGAAAGATTTGAAAGGGTTGAAAGTAAGTGATGTTCGACAAATAGAATCTTAAAAGATAGAATGTAATAAACTTAGAAACGACTATATAGAGAGACACTAACGAAGATTCAAGCAAAACATAAAATATCTGCCCGAACCTTACCCAGTGAGAAATGATAAAGAAATCGGTATCGAATTGACGTTGAATTAATTATTGATTCGACGTCGATTTCATTGTCATATTTCTCACTAGGTAAAGGACCAACTCTACTGTGAGGTCAAAAGTCTCGAAAAATACAAACTAAAAATATTTAATCTTGAAAGAATAAGCTCCGAAATATCGAACTCTAAAGCACGCAAGAATCGAACTTTTTGAAATATTTGGATTTCGGATAATTAAACTTTGAATAACTTCGCTACGATAAATTAAGAATCTTGAAGCGGCACCTTGTCCCGTATTTTTTAAACAAAATTGTAATTTTACAGTGCAAAGAACAAATCTTTTTCATAGAATGGTGTAACAGGATTGATTAGTGACGTATTAATTATCTGAAAAATAAATACTTTTGCCTTTAGTTGTCATTTTTTTTTAATATGGAACAAAAATTATTTATTAAGTGATCAAGATTGCGCTGCCAAGAATAATAACTCACAAATTCTTGGCGCGTGTTGTTGATATTGGCAAGGCTTTCAGAATTCGTTGATATAATATGATATAATATGATATTCAAATATGTTAGCAGGAAAGAATATTAGTGCAGCTATCGGACAAAATTGCAAATTGCAATTTGTTATAATTGGCAGGTGCACGGGGCAACTCGCTTGCTTGAGCCATCATAAAGATCCCCTCTTCTACCTTTCATCGCTAGCTAAGCCGATGCCGATGTCGATTCGCATTGCCGAGTTTCAACCCCGTAAGGGCGCATCTTTTATTGTTGAACACCTCTGACTCGTTATCGTTACGTTCATCATTAAGACTTTGACGTGAGTGCGAAAAAGGCGACCTGATCTTCACCATGAAAAATATTGAAGGTGAATGTTATTCTGTTTTCTACCTCAAAAGAGAAAAGATTAGAAAATAGAATCCCTCTAGGGGGGATTTAATTAACTGGAAAGATTATGACCGCATCTATTGGAAAAATTTAGAATCCTCTCTCATTTTATCAGTAAAATTTGATTATTCTATCCGTCATTAATTTGTTGAAATCTAAAGACACGAAGGGAAATTTATATAACTATTGTTATTATGAAATTATCTGGCAGCAATTAAAGCGCTTATAAATTATTTTTTATTCCTCGCATGAGAATATGTAATACAATTGACTTTTTAAACATAATGTAATTATGTTTAATACCTTTTTCTAGTTGTATTTCTAGTCATATTATACAAAAAATATGTAATATTGTTTCTTATTTAAAAAAATATATGATATTGCAAAATTGTATTTTGGATTTTAAGAAATTTAGAATGCAGCCAGATGTTTGAAACATTTTCAATAATATTTTGTGTAATTTTGATTATACTTTAAATTTCATACATATAATATTGTTGTACTTAATACTGGTAACGCACATTTATTTCTGTGTTTTACTACAGAAATAAAAATAATTTGAAAGACATAAAACAGAATGCAACTCTCTTTTACATAATCAATTTTGGGGGATCATTTTATTTCTACATTACCTTAAGTTTTTATCTTTTCATAGAAACTGAAAATTATCACAATAATGACGCTACGTTCAAGGCAAATTGATAGATATAAATATAATAGTTAATAAAATCTTTATAATATATCGTTACGAAATCGTTATCAGTTATGATTCCGCAGTTATTCAATATTTAAAAATTATTTTGTGTTATTAATTTAAACTAGTTATTAATTTAACTCTCTGAATTAGTTTTTATAAATAATCGAAGTATAAAACTGACGATTTTATAACGATGTAAATAAAGATTTTATTAACTTTTTTTTACTAATTTTTCCTTAAATATAGCCTCATTATTATTAATTTCGTTTTCTATTAAAAATGAATACATAAGAAAATGTAGAAATAAAACAATCCCCAAACGTTCAAAAAAAGTACTCTCCTTTGAAGAAAATAATAGTTAAAATCATAATTGTGATTTTATTTTCACAAATCAAATTTCTAACATTAATAAAACAATTAATAAGAAGTAATTTATATAAGAAATAATGTTTATAATTGTACTACTTTTGTAAGGGGACGAGAAAACACGTTCGGAGGTTTATGGCATATATCTTTATGTCAAGTCGTTAATTAATTTGTACAGAC